GGTGGTTCTGCAGTGGCACAGAGAGCAGGGTGGTGGGTGCAGGAAGTGATTGATGGTGCTGCTGCCCAGATGGAGAATGGTGATTTATGGACAAGCCAGTGTCCAAGCCATGTATGCTATACAGGAGAAAAACAAATTGATTCAGTTTCAGACCTCCTGGAAGGTGCTGGCCAAAGCATTTCACTAAGTTAGCCTCTTGGATGTGGGTTGTCAAAATATTTTAACATCTGCCGGTGACCTCCAAGCATTTTCCTTCCCCTTCACTGCCTGCTCCAGCCCCAGACCTCCCTTACAGTCAAAACTGACAACGTTAGCCATTAGAAATCACTCTTTGAATTAATTACCCAGAAATATGCTTTCAAATCTTCCACTCCGTGTAACAGCAAATTAAAGGGCAGCATGGGTGGGGTTTTACACATCCTGTTTTGGCTGCCCCTTTCTAGATAATGTCACCATTAACACCTCAGCAGCAGTGTCCACTGCTGCTCTCCCTTCTGCTGAGAACAAAAAGCAGAATGTACTTTTATTTCCAACCTGTTTAAAAAAGTACAATGCAGTGCAGATAGAAAGACTGGAGGGATGGCTCAGGAGACAGAAGGTTACCAATGAAGCAGCCCTTGGTCTAGTATCTGTGCAGGGATCATCTCTGCCATTCAGTGATTGGAGTGGGTGTGCTGTGTCCATGGCTCCCAAAAGGGACACACAGAGAGGGGGACAATCCATACCAGGAGTACGTCTGTGCCGACAGCCGTTGCACACTGCTCAAAGTCTGCACATCTCTGGAGAAATAAGCAGTATCATCAAGCTCTGACCATCTCCAAATCATTTCTGTCCCTTCAGAAGCCAAATCTCTCAGGTGAAGGCCAGAGGCACTGCTGAAATGATCACCAGAACACGTACACAAGGAGCACACGCAGCCTGACATCAGTTCTGTGTTTGCTCTCCCATTTAGTCCACGTTTTTCCCCTGTTCAAAGGATCAAGCAAAGCAGCCTGGCAAATACTTTTCACCATTAATTTAGGAGCTTTGTGAAATATTTTTCAGGTATTTAGAACTACTGCAGCTGCAGCTCAATCAGTTCCCACTCCTGCCCACAAAACTGGCAAAATCTCCTCCAAAGCAAGTAACTTGACACTGATTGACACCACTCTGTGTTCTCTTGAATCATGGAGATCCATTGCACTCTGCTGATGCTTTAGATACAAACATCACCTCGTGTGAACGCAGGCAATTAGCTTTTCCTCAGTGCATGACTCTTCCCCACCTGCTCTGCCTGACAGCCTCTAATCCCAAGCGGACCCCATAAAGCCAGAAGCTGTCTCCAGCTCAGCAAGGGGGCTCCAGACAGCTGCCCCAGGAGTGGTGAGGGATAGACAAGGATGGGATGGCCTCAGAGAGTCAGGGAAAGCCCACGGGAACCAGACCTGCAGTGCAAGAGGAGTGAATGAAGGACATTGCTTCTGCCAGTCCTGAGATCAAATTGCTAGAAATGGCTAAGATCATTTTTTGCCTTTTTTTTCCCCCTCACTCTTTCCACCCTTGATTTTTGCCTTTCCTTGAACAGCCACTTGCACACGTTGCCTTTGCAAACACTGCCTCTGCAGAGCTGGCAGCAGGATGGGAGCAGCACTCCCTGAAGCAGAAGAGAAATCAAAGGAAAAGGAGAGAGAGGGGAAAATAAATAAATAAAAAGGCTTGTTTATCTATTTATTAATAGCAGAGCAGTGTTCCCAAGGGGATAGGCCAACTGTGACTCTAATCCATCCATGCAAAGCTGCATCCCGGGCTGTTTCGTTAGTATTTCCTTTTTTTTTTTTTTTTCTTTTCCAGGGTTAATTACTGAGAAATAAAAGTGAGGCATCCAATCCTTGCCTCCCCGAATCTCCCCCTCCCTCCCTTCTGAACTACGCATGCTCTAAATGGTTGCCCTCTGACCATAGAGCCATCATGGTCACTGCTGCCTCAGTCCAGGTTTGTTGACAGTCCTGAGCTATACGTGAAGAAGGACAGGGCCAAATCTGCCACACTGCAAACAGTACAGCAAGTCAGTTAATGACAACGGGGGGTGGTTTTAATATGTGTTTATGTGCAGGAACGTTCAGCTGGGTCAGTGACACTGCTCTGTGCTCATCCAGGGAAAATGAACATAAACTACGCATTGCCCGCAAGCAAGATGGCCTCATGACATGCCTTGAAAGGGAAGCAGGAGGAGCTAGTTCTAATGGTCTGATGGGCTTTGAAATGCATCCAGGGGGAGGGAAGAGAAGAGCTATTGGCATTCATGTGAAAAGCAGCTCTGGCCTGCTGTATCTGCGATAAATGGTGCAAAAAGCTGGCCAGTTTCATGACACAGTCCCACTGCAGCAACGTCTGCCAAGGACTTGCATACCATCCCCAAAGCCCTGCCACGGCAGGACCCTCCACACTGGAGTTTCTGAAGTATATTTTGTGCTTGGGCTCTGGTTTGGAAGCCGGAGACTTTTATCTCAGGATATCAGAGGGAGGGTTTTCAAAGGCATATCTCATCAAAAGTCAAAGGGAATGAAGAACCTGACCTCCTTATGTGCAGCTCAGCTTCTCTCCCTGAGCATCTCTAGTTTCTCTTTTAGGACAGCCAAAGCCTTCCCTGTCCTGCCTAGCAATGAATTCAATTCATACTCATTGGGGGATTTCTTGAAAGAAAGTGATGTCCAAGTTCACTTTTTACTTGGTTTGTCGAGAAGCTTCTGCAAAGCTGATGTGGTTAAAACAGGGTCAGCCTTAACATACGTCACATCAGCTATGTTATGGATATGGTGGTGCCCCATCCCTGGAGACAGCCAAAGTCAGGCTGGATGGGCTCTGAGCACCTGATAGAGCTGTAGGTGTCCCTGTTCATTGCAGGGGAGTTGGACCAGATGACCTTTAAGAGCCACTTCCAACTCAAATGATCCTATGACGATATTAATTAAATGAAGTAGCAATCATTTTGCTGGGATCTCAGAATCTCCTCCAACCCACTTTTCCTGGGGTGACCACAAAGTCCTCTGCCTTACCAAGCAGGTTCTCATCATCTGACCTTCTGCACCAGCACAGATGGTAAGTAGTTTAGAATGCGCATCTCAGCCTATGCAGAAGGAAGCACAATTTCCCAAAAGCCCTGGTAAAAGGAAAGAAAAGGGCTGGGCTGAAGTGTTTTTTAAAGCTCCTAAATGGGGAAGGGAGAAAAGCAAGAAGGGATAAGTGTTCAGGTGGGAAAAGAGGAAGGAAAAACTCCATCTTAGTACCTAGGATATGGTATGTTTCTGAAACTGCTGAGAGGAATGTAGTCGTCTCTGCAAATCAAGATGAGCTGGCTGGCCAATGAAGCATGCCCGGCATTTTATTTCTCATATTGTTTGGAGATAGGGATTCAGCTGAGTGCATTCAGCAAATAAAGATCAAATAACCTGCTGTGAATAATGTTTTAAACCCGGGTTCCTATCAGGATCTAGTTATAAGCCCATATACTCCGTTGGATAAAAAATAAGTTACACATGGCTGGAGGCAGTATTACTTTCTATGGAAGATGAAATCTGTTCTGAAATAGAAAATGTTTGGAGATTCTCCCCTCCTCTTCTCATTTTTTGGAAGGGCTAAACCACAGAAAGCAGCCTGACAGAGAGAGGGGATGAGGGTCCACTGTATTTCATCGACTGCCTCTGGGTCCAGAGCTAAGATTTATGCTAAAAGAGGGGGTGGCCAGGAGAAAAGGAGAGGAGGAGTCCACATTGCCTGTTTGGCTGTTGTGCCTGGAATCAAGCTAACCTCTATTGCACTAAGCTCCTTAGCAGTACAGAGAAACAAGCCCCTGATGAGCTGATCCTTCACTTGCCTGATGGTAATCAACGCCTTGGCTGCTGGCCACGGGCAGAAACCACCAGTTGCTGCTATTTGTTCTTCACACGCGCACCTGAACCAACCCATGGCTCCACCGTGTAGGAGAATTTCTATGGAACTGTTCAGACCAGATGTGGATGCTGATGCTTGCAGCCCACTGCACAAATAGTCCTGCTTATTTCAATGAAGGTGATGATGGATAACAGTGTTATTCCACAGCAGTGGGGTAGCACAGTCCTTTCTCTTTTCAAGGAGAGTCAGCAATACCCTACGGGAAAGCACACCAGAACGATATACTGACGTTTTTCATTGTTAGTTTAGAACTGCTTTCCTTTGACTCTGGCATTTCACATGACCCTGCTGCTTTGTTTCCATTCCTGTGAAAGGGAAACACCTTTTCTCACATGAGCCAAAGCCTCTGCTTTTTAATGGATCTTAAAAGAGTTGAAAAAAAAAAAACAAAAAACTACATAAACTCCTGGTATTCCCTCTTCAATAATCCTTCAGCCAGACAGATGGTTGAAAGTCTTCCCTCTAATTTCTTTTTTTTGAAGACATGTTTATTGTGTGAAGTATCTGCTTCGCAGCAAAAACTTCAATTATCCCTCAGAAAAACAAATATTAAAAAATGAAAACATTTTGACTGCAACCCTAAATATTTCAGCCAAAAATAAAAGGATCCAATCCCCCGTGAGTATGTGTTTGTCTCTATTAAAATACTTTAATTTGGAAATGCTGCCACACAGGGGATTTTGACAGAGCATTTCTCATTCTGTTTCCCTACTGTGGCCCTGAGTGCCTCAAATTCGTGTCTCCTTTGTGGTGGGGCACAGCAGAAACTCCTGGCAGCACTTCTACCTGTCCTCCTGAGGTGGAAACCCTCAAAGAAGGAGATCTTACTTACAGAAACAGTGAGACTATGAAGTGGTTGAAGTCCAAATTGTATGTGACAACATAACGGCATAATTAATACTAAATATCTCTGCTTGTGGCTATCATATTCCAAGGTTTGAATTTCTTTTGAAAATATAAAATTTAAGAAAAAAAAAAAAAACACACACTCCTTTTGTTGATGAAAGGGAGTCACAAGTGAACTGGCTTTTTTCTCTTGATCCCTGGTTAACTCTACCCTAACAGCCCATCTCATGCAGACATCACAAAGTGAACCCTGAGACTGAAGCATTAGCCACCTGGGTTTGCTTCCTTTGTTTCAAGAGCAGTGAGGGAAGCCCAGCCATTAGCCCTCCCTTAGTGCCCTAGGCCATTGGATGGTATCTCCTGAGCGTTCCCTTGGATGCTGAGAAGTTGTAGAAGGAGCGGGAGGTATTTCTTTTCCTGATATTTTTTGTTTCCATGAAGCTCAAACTGCTCTGCAAAACATAAATGGGAAGATGGGTAATTTGCACAGAATCACAGAATTGATAAGGTTGGAAATGTTGACAATGATCATCTAGTCCAACCATCAACCCATGCCTGTGACAGTGAGAGACACACAATCTAGAACTGACCTTTCCTCAAACACTCCCAAGGATGGCGATTCCATCACTCCCTGGGCAGCTTGCTCCAATGCTTCACCACTATTTTTGAGAAGTTTTTCCTAACATCCAACCTGGACCTACCCTGGAGCAACTTAAGACCACTATCTCTCATCCTATTGCTATCATATGGCAAAGGAATCCAACCTTCACATCGCTACAGCCTCCTTTCGTTTTCAAATCTACTGACAAACACTAACAACACGGGAAGGAAAACGACATGTTTCTTCACTCCTATCAGAGCAAGTGGCTGGTGGAAGGAGAACGGGGCTGCAGGTGTACACAGCCCAGCTGGTGTGTGTTTATTCAGCACAGCCAAGCTGACCAGCACCCACCTCACTGCAGTGCGGTGGCACAGAGCCCAGGCAGCTACATAAACCCAGCCGGTCAGCAGCACAGTGAGTTGTCCCCGGCTCGGTGCCATCCTGATGTGGTCATTCGAAGTCTGGTATCACTGGAGGCATCACTCCTCCAGTCCACACTAATCCTTTCCTCTGTGAAGGCTGTGATGGTTCCATCCATATATTTACCAGACAAATTGACTTCTCCAGTTTAACAAGAGAATAATTTTCATGATGAATAAATGGAAGACGGATTCAAAATTTAAGGTGCCTCAGAGTATTACTTCTAACGTCGTTTGGGCCTAAAGTGTTCCTGCTGGGATAAGTGGAAATGCATCCCCTGTTTCCAGTCAGCAACTTAAAAAGCAACCCCCAATTTTCCAGCAATAGAGAGAGCTACGAGGCCTGCAGAAGTACAGAGCTCTTGATTACAGCTTTGTTGAAAAACATTGTTCTGAGATGTCTGGAGACCAGATAATAGGCACTGCTTTAGTTTAAAATAAGAGGCATTTCATGAATAAAGCTTTCCAGTGAGCAGAGACAGGGGGATATTGAAGCTGTCTGCTGGTGCTCTCTAGGCTTGCCTGTCTAGATTGCACTGCCGTTATGTTTTCCCCAGAAGTCCCACTTTCAGACAAGCTGTACCGCCAGGCCCTCACTACAGATCTCGTCAGTAGTGCTGCCTGAGAGGAACTTAAACACAGGGAAGGAAAGAGACTTTGTAGGTCTGGTCTCTGGATTGCAGGATTAAGAGAACTTTTCTTGCCTTTCTACACCTGCCACTGTGTTGTCTGCTCACACTCTGTAAATGCTCACTGTCTTTTGTATTTTACTTTCCCAGAGTTCAGGTGCGTTGCATTCTCAATTGAGCAATTTGATTTTCAGACACGTTTTACAGCAGTTCTTAAAGGGGGGGTATTGGAATGTCTTGTAAACAAAACTTTCCTTTGAATTCCTGAAGAGCACCCACAGCCTGGAGGGAAAGATAAGTTTCCTGGCACGGTTTGGAAGTTCGAGATTTGTTTCCAAGTGATTGCTGAATGAAATGAAAGACTTTTCCCGGTGCGTGGGCAAGTCTGGGAAGAGAAGGTCTGATGATCCTTGGTAAGAGGCACTCGAGTCTCCACGTGTAAAACTCTGGAAGGAGAAACAGGGCCTAATCCTGACACATTGCTGGGTACAGATAGGGGACATGATGACAAGGCTCATAGTACCACTGTTCTCAAACACCGAGCCCCAAACAGACACGTAGGAGATTAAAAATTTTTTTTCTTAATAGTTGAAATTAATACTCATCTATTATTACTTCAGTGCCTGACTGATGATAAAGATGCCAACAACTGCCAGGCATATAAACAATATTTTCTATGAACTTCCAGCTAAACTCAGCAGGAAAGAACAGATTAAGAAGCCACCCTTCTGAGGGCAGAAATTGCCTTTTCATACTCGGGGTGAATCAGCAGCCTTGTAGAGCACAAAAAGCAAAACCAGAGCAAGTTCTGGTACAATCACGTGTAGCACCAGCCTCAGTTGGAATCACTTCATCATTTTTTGTGTTGCAGTGGTTTTGCTGCATGGGGATCAGTCAAACAGACCTTGAAATCTGTTAGCAACAAATTGCATTTAAACATTTTGAATTTAATAATGAATATATTCTGCTTTTCATTAGGGATGTGCAGCTTCCAGACTTCCTGATATGAATCCAGAGGAGCTGGCAATAAAGGGAAACCAACATCCTGTGCAGAATGAGGGGTTTTTTTTTTTTTTTTTTTTTTTAAATGCTGACACAGCTCTCTGTTTCTCAATTTTGTTGTTGTTGTGATTGCATATAGAACTGCCAGAGGACAAACTGTGTAGGACAGCAGGTAGGACAGGTACAAGGTTCATACCACTACCTTGTGCGCCTCCTGTCTGATCAGTACTGGCCTCTAGAGCTCTAGCTCTTGGTGTCCCATTTGAATGACACACCTCAGTACCCCTTCATCCACCTAAACTTATCATTATATACATTTGCTCACATGTAGCACAACCTGTGACACCTTCCGCCCCTCTGGTTATGACTCAGAGCTCATTTCAATATGTACAGGTGTACAGACCTACTGAGCTGCTCCTTTGCCTTCTGCCCGAGCCATCCCCAGGGCTCTTGCATAACCTTCTTACAGTCTCTGCAACTTTCATGGCAAATAAGGTTTCTTATGCTTAGGGATGGAGGGGCAGATCTGGACATGGGGATCTGCTGAAGGAAGGAAAAAATTTGCTGTTCACACTGTCTCCTTGAACCATTCCACTTCAACCCACAGCATGCGTTTTCCAAGGAAGAAGAGCACACACTCTTTTAAAGACAAGAGTTTCTTGCTTAATTCAGTGACAGTGATTTAATGCCTCACCCACAGCTAATGCCTGTTACACTGTCATTTCTCAACTCTACACATCTGATAGAATTCAAAGCTCATTTCTCCCTTGGCAAGAATTTTCTTCCTCCCAACCCAGCTATGAGCTTGCCTTGCTGGATGTGCAGAGATAGCCCTGTCTATAGATCAGAAGCTGAGTTCTTTACCCAGCTCTGCAGCTTACTGGGTTGGGTAACCATTACAACTCTTCTTCCTTAGGGTCTGGGAGAGTGCCAAAAGCAACAGCACCCACAACAGTCATGAGGATACCCGGTGTCCACAGCAGGCAGCCAGACAGGCACAATGCTCATGGGTATGGAAAGGAAGTCCTGAAGAAAAACAAAGACACTCATCTGGAACAATGCTGAACAATTCAGAGTAGGATCAGCATAAAAGAACTTTCTTGAGAAGCAAAAATATGACCCTTAACTATAGCACACAAGAAGTTAGCTTGATCTGATTTCTGCAAGGCAGACATTTCCATTTGAGCTTGGCACCCCAGGCTCCAATTACAGCCAAGAAGAGACACGTGCACTCATGCTAATGTCCATATTAAGATGAGATGAACTGGAGTTCTGAATGTCTATCATACTTTCTTACCCTGTGTAAGGAAATCTATGACGAGTGGATTGTGTACTTTTCTAAACAGGAAAATGAAATAAATCCTATATCAGATTTCTGGACATATCAGTGCAGCATTGCCCACCCTCCTATGACCTGACACTGGATTGGTTCTAAAAAGAGTCCAGAGTTTTCATAACTAGATTCTTGAATGCAGCTTCTGGAGATTTGAGCCACATTAAGCAGTTAACTGCATAAAATACTTGATAAAACTCTCTATAGATTAAAATCCAACATTTTCTTTCAACACTTCCATAACTGTCAACATTGTTTTCTTGCTCTTCCCACAATGAACAACAGTCAAATTTCACATGTTAGATGATGCTAAACTGAACCTCAATTTTAAAATACCCTTTTCATCTTGAGATACTAGCCATTATGGTTAACAGTAATAGAAATGAATTTATCACAGTTTAAGGTTAGTAGCAGATCAAATGTACGTTCCTCAAGAAGAGTGAAATGCAACATGAGCCACAGAGCAAAACACACCTTCAGTCTTTTGTCTCATTCCTCACCTTGGTCCCTATGACAACCTAGTTTTGGAGAGAGAGAGGACAAAAACAAAACAAAAACAAAACAAAAACAAAACAAAAACAAAACA